ATTAATCAATCTCAATACAATTAATATTATAAAATTCATATATTACTTAAATCATATTTACTATCTATAATCATGCTTTTAAGTATAATTTTTTGTTACCGTTTATTTCGAAGCTGTACAGTGTGGACGTCACCATTTGAAGCAAGCTAAACAAAACAAACATGATAAATACTTTACCAAAAAAATCACTGGTAATAAATATACAAAGAAATCCTATACATGTTTTACATTTTGACCAATTTTATTGATGTTTTGACTGAGAATGCTTTGGCCGACGTACAGATGTTATCAAGTCCAATCATATATCGAAGAAATTTGATTGACATATATATATCTGCATTACATTAGATGAACATGAATCAATCTATTTATATAAGTTATATATTAATTTGTTTTCTTTATGTAAAAGAAGTTATATATTTATTTGCTGATACAAACAAATCTCGTGATAATGATATCTTTATTCTTTTTCGGGGTCGTTATCAAATTCACCTAACGAAAACAAAAAGAAGCCAATATGTTAGAAAGAGAAGCAAAACTATAAAAGATCTTCCGGGCGAATCAAGTAATTGCCAAACCCCCTAGTCCTAGACCATTATAATCATATGAAAAGAATACATTGAAATTAAAATTTATATACATATAAGTCTAAAAAGCTCCCTTGATAAATTAGAAACGAATTTTCTAAACCTATAAGAGAACAATCAATTATGTTCTGGTTTAATTCTAAGAAAGGATTTAAATCATATTTTAATAGATAACATGTTTCATATATTCCTCCAAGATTGGACCGAATACAAAATTTGGATATCAAAGCCATTTTGGACGCATAGATATAGTTTCGAACACGTGAAGTCTACAAATTATGATTGTATTTATCAACTAAAATTGAAAAAAATGCATGGATAACTTTTGGATTTCGATTCATAGTTTCTTTAGAAATGAAACCAACCGTGAATAATATATATACGCACACGTGAAAACATAACTCATCGTCTCACATTTAAAGTTCGAAATTTCGAATCCAAATTTGCTTAAACTGAAAAATCTGATTCTACCAATTAGACCATATATGTACTTACATATTCGAAAGTAATAATGTTTTGGGATTTAATGGAGGAATTATGAGCCCAAATACACACATATGATAGAGTCAAAAAAGAAATTCCACACAAAATCATCTATCTTCTCAATCAATAATTGGAATTTGCTAGTAAATGTATTTTTTGTCCTTCTCATATATACATCTTTGATACGTCTCTTCTTATTTAAATTTTAAATTATAGCTAATTCAGTTTTTAGGCACGCCATTTGTTGTATGTATCATTGTAGGAATCAAGGAAGCAACCTAACTTTGCTTGAATATGTTAAAAATTATAAGATAGTTTAACATTAAAGAATTATTTTTAAAAAGTTAAAGATCCAACAAATACTTTATTTATCATATTTGCTTGGTAACTCGCAATTACACGGAAAATAATATTTTACATGAAAATGATTCAAATGAAAGACACTCGAATTAAGGGCG